AAAGGATGAGTGAAGAACATTATGACTGTATGCCAAGAGTGTACACTCCTTAAAGAGTCATCCAAGGTACAAAGGTCCTCCTAGCTACCCCATTAAAGTAGGCAGACACCTGTATTGAGCAGAACTGGCATAGGAAGATGCTGGAGACAGAATTATCACTTTAGTAACAACAACAAAGGCATCCTTTCATACTCTCATGGATAGAAAATATAAAATGATTGGCAATATAGTGTGGATGATGAGCCCCTCAGATTGGATGGTGGTTAGCATGCTATTGAGGAGGAGTTGAGGATCTTTCAGGGCACATGTTTATGGTGTGGCTAGATGGCCTTTGGGATATCTCGTTTCTGATGTTACTTTTCAGAAGAAGAAACTTTCAAGCTACAAAGACAGAATTATAGTGGAAAGGTGGAATGTAAGAAACATGAATATGGAACAACTCAGCACAGTGAAAGATTAAATGATCTACTACACACTGAGACCTCAGGCATTAGACAATTAAAGTGGACTGGATTTGGACATCTTCAATTATATCCTGTATGATCTCTTCCCAATCCAGTTCTTCAGGTCTTCCATTCATTGCCAGTGTAATCAACTTCATCTACTTTGCAGCTTGCCAACTTCTTCACTTTCCTTCCAGTTTTCCCACCATTATAGGCTTCTCAAAGGAAAACAAGAATAGAGAGAACCAAAACAAACATTTTCTGCAGTGTCTAGTTTTCTCAGCTTGTCAACTTAGGGTCATATTCAGCTGAAATCAATTCTAGTATTTCCTTTCCCCCTTCCCTTAAATGTCTGTATGTGACACATTTGTATGTGCACATGTGTATATGAAAACATACACAGGAAGGAAACGCAGCCTTCCTATAAGATAAATTCTAAATCTTTTATTTACATTATCTCTTCTGAGTTCAGTATATGAGAAATTACATTCAATGAACGGAAATTCTAAGGTTGGCTTTTTGGAATTGCTAAAACAGATGTGAATGTTTTATTTAAATAGTTCCATTTGAGTAGGATTAAAGAACTAAACAGTTTTTACAACTTTTTGTTCATAGATTTTTATTGTTAGTTGACTATAGTTTCAAGTTGAGCTAAAAGTAGAATGTTTCCTATTGATTTTAATATTGCTGGATTGCCACCAAATTTTGAAAGCTATTTATTCAGACTTCTGTTCCCTACCTCTTCAATTGCATTATATATAGTTCAAATTTCTTTCAAAAAACTTGACCTTTTGCCAGCATTTCTTATTTAAAAGTCTCTCTTCTTGTTCCTGATCAACACAGCTGTTGCTAGATTTAAAAGCATTTGACTTCAGCCAGCATGGTGGCTAAGCCAATTAATACTCTAATACAATCATTTCTGAAAACAAGTACTTTGGCAGAATAAAGAATGGGATATATCTTGCCTAATTTGAATTGGCTCTTGCATTGTTATAATGGTAGAAGTGACATTTTGGATCAGAGTAGTCTGAAGCATCTCAAAAAATGAGAAAGAAATATCAAAAGGAATTAATTTCAATGTTCTTTAAGTACTTTTTAACACCACCTTTCTTAATTGTAATTGGTTCTTTAAAAAATAATGCCAATAGAACATTGTTTTGATTTGTTAAAAAAAATATTCTAGACTCAACAGGTGGCAGTACCTGCCTAATCTTGCCCTGATTTAGAAGCTAACCAGGCCTGGCACCTGATTAGAACATGAATGGGAACACTCTTGGGAATAGCAAGAGAGTGTAGATTAGACTGGGGAACTGAAAATCATCCTGGAAAATGGCACCAGGAAGTCTTTAGATTGCTAGGATAACTGCATGAAATACGTATGGATTTACCAGGAGCCAAGCTCAAATCAAAAGAGACCTTACTTTAAACTTGTATTCTTTATAAGTAGATGAATCCATGTGCCATATCTTTTCTCATTAGGCTTTGAGGTAAGTAGATTTATTTTAGCCATCAACTGCACTACGTTGACCATAATAATAAGAGCTTATCTTATTCCTGTTCTAGCATTACAGAGAACATTTTAGGTTGTTTAAACTTCCTTTGAACCCTAAATCTTTTTCCAACATACATCAATTCTCCTCAGATTATTAAACAATTTTGGAGACTAAGAAATTATGCTTCTAGAAAGCTAACGTGGCTGACTTAACAATGACTTCATAGTTTTTCCCCCTAACAATTTAAATAAGTAATGCAGTTGAAGAGATGGAAGAAGCATGTGGACAGATAGTTGGTAAAAAAGATAAAAGAACCAGGAGTAGGCTACCCACTGGCTCCATAATATTCTGGCAACTCTTGGGGTGATCACTTGTATTGCAACAAAAATTGGGCAATAGTATTTTCCACCAAACTATGGCAACAAGTGTCTGCTTCACTTAAACATTCTTCACTACAGTATGATTGTCTGAAAAGAGATTTGTTATCGACCTGGCTTCATCATCTGTATCTTTTTCAATGTGCCTTCAGCATGTGCAGAAGTCATTATAAGACTCAAAGCCTAAAGTGGGGAAATCATGGCATAGACTGAGAGACTAGTAAAGCAGGGCCCTTTATCTATGTGAAGATTTGCTGGACAAACAAGGAAAAGAGAATTACATTGAGATCTCCAGTCCTGATGATTGTGGAGCCAGAGTTGGTTTCAGTGAATAAATTTCAGGAAGGAAGTTATAAACAACTAGTACCTTGGGCAGAATAACTGAACCATTTATCTTTATAGAAATTTCATTAAACTTCTCTTATAATATCAGTGAAAGACAAATAATGTATTTTTATCTCCTAAATTGATTCATTCAACCCTTGCTGTTCATCACTAGGTTGTCTGTATGTTAGTATCTCCTGAATATTCAGCACACTTTGAGCCTCATTCAATACGTTTCTTTGAATACACAATAACTTTTATAACTTTTATTGTTCTTTCTGGTTTACAAGTGCAGCGCATGGACATAGATAGCCATAAAAGTTTAATAAAGATGGCTGAGAGAGGTTGACTGTATATTTTGGAAATAAATTGAAATAAATCATAGGAACTATTTTGTAATAGGCTTGTATGGCACACTATGCTAAAATGAAGTAAATCAGCAAAATTCAAAGACCTCATCTTTTTTGTTGTTGTTGTTAGTTGCGAAGTTGTGTCTGACCCATCGCGACCCCATGGACAATATTCCTCCAGGCCTTCCTGTCCTCTACCATCTTCTGGAGTCCATTTAAGCTCATGCCTACTGCTTCAGTGACTCCATTCAGCCACCTCATTCTCTGTCGTCCCCTTCTTCTCTTGGCCTCAATCTTTCCCAGCATTAGGCTCTTCTCCAGTGAGTCCTTCCTTCTCATTAGGTGCCCAAAGTACTTGAGTTTCAACTTCAGGATCTGGCCTTCTAAAGAGCAGTCGGGGTTGATCTCCTCTAGGACTGACAAGTTTGAATGCCTTGCAGTCCAGGGTACTCGCAGGAGTCTTCTCCTGCACTATAGTTCAAAGGCCTCAATTCTTTTGCGCTCAGCCTTTCTTATGGTCCAACTTTCACAGCCATACATTGCAACTGGGAAAACCATGGCCTTGACCTCATCTTACCTCATCATACCTTTATTAAGGTATTATTTTCATTTTGAATAAATTACATTTCTTAAGTATTCAAAGCCTCAACATTATTGATACTGAGAAAAAGTAGTTTTGTCAGGGACAGAACAGCTATTGACACTTAGAGGATGGTTGGTAGGTGGGGAGTTTTTTGTTTTGTTTTGTTTTTCATAAAGATTTGGCTAATTTGTTTTAAAATTGAGTTGTTCAGCTAGAATTAAAATTGTGTTATGGTTTTGTTTGTTATCTCTTTTTAATTGTGTGTTGCCTATATGGAACCTTGGGTTCTTTTGGCATCTTCCATAGAGTTGATTTTTGTTAAATCCTTGTTTTTCTAACAAATGTTTAAATCCTGGAAATGAGCAGTTGCCTTCTAGCAACTGTCTTAGATTGGCTGAGCTCCAGACTCCCTAAATTTCTGTTTGGTTTTTGTTTTCTTTTCTGTAGACATCTTCAATTCTCTCATGATGGGATCAGATGGGATGTGAGAAACTGGTTTATAGTACAGGGATGGTTGCAGAAGGGATCTAATTTTCCAGCTGCTATTTATTCCCAGGCATGGGTCACCTCAGAATTGAAGTACTTCAAATGGAGAGAGCAATTCGGCCCTGAAGACACCTTTCTTATTACATATGGCCCAGTATTAAGCCATTCAATGGCACTGCTGGGACTTCAAGAGTATTTAATTTTTCCTTCCAAATTTATAATTGACAGCAAACCACCTTTGCTGGCCTGTTTTTTTGCCTTGGGCCAATTCAAAACAACTCATGGACTGCTTTTTGTGTTGCAATCACTTTGCAATTTCTCAATGACTGCACTTTACCCTCCTTGAAGCAGTATTCCTAAAACTTACCTGGGAACATGTTTATTCATTTCTCACTTATAAGAGTTAAAATCCAAACATTTTTGGGGGGGGGGATACAAGAACTGAAAAAGTGAAATAAATAAAGCTGCAAGAGCATCCGTGTTATGTTACTGCCCATTTATAACTCAAAGTAAAACTGCTCCCCGTGTGCAAACCAGAATTATGCAGAATGTCAATTAAATCAACTGTAATCTCCCAGATACATTTTTTTATTGCTGGATTCATTAGATAGGCTCTTAAGGTAATGAATAGTTGTCACTTTTACCAAGGACTGCTGATTCCTTTATAAATGATGACCACTAAAAATGCAGAAGAGACATTTTAAAATCTGGCTATATTTACACTCTGCCTTTATACTTGAAGTAAAGTAGAATTTAGTATGATCCAACGTATTATGAAAATCACTGCTAGAAATCAGCTCTGTACTTTAGGACATATACATTTCAGAACATTTGTTTTAAGGTTTCCTAAGAAAGCAACATAAAAAGCACAAAATCAGATAATTTGTTTTTATCAAATTCCAAAAATCTATTATTTATAATGTATTTTGTTTTCTTTCTTCTAGCAAGTCCACACGCAACACCATCGACTCTTCATTTTCCAACATCACCCATTATTCAACAGCCTGGGCCATACTTCTCACACCCAGCAATTCGCTATCATCCTCAGGAGACTCTGAAAGAGTTTGTCCAACTTGTCTGCCCGGACGCTGGTCAGCAGGCTGGACAGGTGGGGTTCCTAAATGTAAGGAAGCTGTTTCTACTTTTTTTCAGAAGTTTTGTTTCTATAACCATGAAATGATAAGAATAGATTTGTACACATAAGAAAATCATAGTGTTTAAGGGGCCTAAACCATCCCAAAATAAATGTTCCATTCGTGTTATGATTGGAGTTAATATAATTTAAGTGGTCGTTATTTGGCTACCTTATGCCCATAATTTACACCTTCTACATGCTTGAATTTAATCAATTTTTGCCCATAATGAAATCTACTAAAGTTTGATGTAAGTGATGAATGCAATATACTACAGGTAGTTGTCGACCTACGACCACAATTGAGCCCAAAAGTTATGTTGTTAAGTGAGACTTTTGTTAAGTGAGTTTTGTCCCATTCTTGTCACCGTTGTTAACTGAATCACTGCAGTTGATAAGTTAGTAACCCAGTTATTAAGTGAATCTGGCTTCCCCATTGACTTTGCTTCTCAGAAGGTTGCAAAAGGTGATCACATGACCATGGGACACAGCAATGGTCATAAATATGAACCAGTTACCAAGCATCTGAATTTTGATCACATGATCATGGCACTGTTGCAAAGGTCATAACTGTGAAAAACAGTCATAAGTCACATTTTTCAATGCTGTTGTAATTTTGGTCACTAAACTGTTGTAAGATGAAGGCTACCTGTATATATGCTAACATTTTACAATGGATCGAAGATTATAAATAAACTAACAGTTCATATTGACCTAAATACCACTTAGACAGTGCCACAAAAGTAGTTAATACTATCACAAATAGTACTCAGATACCTTACTCTGAGTAAGCTCTCAGGACTACACTGTGAAGGAGGCATACAGGGAAGTATAAAAGCATCCCAGGTCTATGTAAGCCTTGAAAACCCAAAACTACTATTATATCTTGCCGAGTACGTTTTACTACTTATTTGGAAAGTGGGACACAGTTGAATTGTCAAATATTGATCACATATTTTATCAAATTCTTCTTACATATAAAAAAAAGCATTTTTATTAACAGATTAACAACAGACAAAACTATACTGGTTACAAAAATTATTGACAACCTGTAGAAGATTTCAAAGTAGCTACCAAAAGATTTATGAGATGCTCGGCCTTTTTCTGACATACTACTCTGCTGCTGATTAGCATCACAGAGTCTGCATGATCCTGTTCCAGAATGTTTGAGAACCTGAATTGCAGCCACAGAGAAATCAAGGAACCAATATGCCACAGAGGATTTGGGCTGCCCATAGCCAGTTTAGCGGTTCAGTGAAACTTTTAATTGCAGTGGAATGGAAGCAAAAATTGCCAGTTCTCCATTTTGTGACCACGTCAAGGAGGAAAAAGCACATGAGGAAAAGGTTTTTTTCTTTTTTTGAATATTAATTTTATTTAAAATTACAATTAAACGATTAAAAACTAACACAAACTAAAAAAATCAAAGAATAAAAATAAAAAGAGCAGAAACTAAAAAAATAGAAAAGAAAGAAAAATAATATAGTAAAAGAAAAAAAACATACAAAGAAATGACTTTCCCCTTCTTCACAAGTAAACAGTTTTAGTAACTTAATCACTTTCTCTTAAAATATAACAAATGATCTCTTCATCCCATATCCAATTTTTTATCTATAAACAAATCCTTAAATCCTAATAATTTAGCCCTGGTCAAGTAAATCGATTAAGACTTCCCAGAGATAGCAATATATCTATTTTAACCTTGATTAAATAAATCAAGTTTTATCTTTCTTTTTACAACAGTCTTGATCTTTACTCCTCTCAAATGATGTCCCAGAATTTGATTTCTTGTCTTTTCTTGTTTTGTCTTTTCCTTTCACACAAAATTTTTCAAAGTTTTAACAAGCCTCTTTTGTATGTCCAACATAGGAGTATTATCCAAGTCAATTTCTTGCTTTGTTATTTGTATAGTCCTTTTAATTATTAAGAGATCAGCTGATTTCTTTTATATGCTAAGTATAGATAGCATTTTTTCATATCATTCTTGTTGCCTGTCATTCTTAACTCTACCTTTGAATCAGTCCCAATTTTGTCAGACAAAGCTTGTTCCTCTTTCATAACATCTTTTAAATACAGCCTATAGAGAGAGACAACCATTTTTAAATTAATTTCTGGGTCCATTGTTCAAAAATATCCTTCAATATATCCAACGTTAATATATTTTGCTTCCTTGTATGTTATTAAGTTGAATGTAAGAGCTTTTCTGCTTTAGTTTCTTTTGGTTTTCTCTAATGGCCAACCTTCAAAGTATCATCCAAGAAAATTCAAAACAAAGCATTTTCCCACAGAGGAAAGATTCTTATAATTATTTCTAAAATCTTATTTCAAACCCATTTGGATCTTTAGTCTGTTTGTAACTTTTACATGAAATTTAAGTCAAATCAAAATTTTAATCACTCTTTTGCTATTTATTTCAAAAGGAAAAATATAAGTCCTTAAACTTGTATTTAAAAGTTTTTTTCCTAAGGGCTGAAGGAAACTCACCTGGTATTATAGAACATTTTGTTACAAAGATTCTAATAGCAGAAACAAGCAATTTCCAAAAGAAAAGGAGGTATATAAATACAGTGTCATTGTAAATGCACCAATTATGGTTTGAGCAACACAGCTATTCTTTGTCTCCCAGAGCTCTAAACCCACCGGAGACTACTATCCGGAGCATTCATGGACAATCTCAAGCCCCATCTTTGTCCAGAGAGGAATTACAATGAACAGGTGTACTTGCCACATATTCATTCCACCGTAATTGTTGGTTCCATTAAAAGACTGGACATTCCACAAGGAAAAAGCTCTTTAATGTACTTCCGAACTCCAATTTTACTTACATCTAAATCGGACCTCTCTTGCTCACAACACAAGATGTACAAAGCCTAACACTGTGGTGAATACATTTGTACTGCTCTTTAGTTCTGTTAGGAATGTTGCCTTCTCAAGCTCATTCATAAATGCTAATTATTATAGCCTATGTCCAGTAGAAAAAGCTACTTTTATGTCTCAGCTGAGCAAAGGTAGTGGAAGAGACCAGGATGTTTCTCCTTTCTCTGGTGTCTGAAGCACCACTTTCTGAATTAGTATGTTTCTGGGGAGTGATACATGCATATCAGTGTTTCTCAGTCTCAGTAACTTTAAGATGTGTGGACCTCAATTCCCAGAAATCTCCAGCCAAAATTTCTATAAATTGAACTTTACATATCTTAAAGCTGTTGAGGTTGAGAAACACTGATTGATGTATATGCATACAATGGCATCCATAGGGGGCTGGAGGAAGCTAAAGTAGTCAAGATCTTCACCTTTGTACATTCATGCAACATTATCATAAATACCGAAAAGTTGGGCTTCATTCATATAATTGTGATGGTCATCTTGACTTTTTGTTCTCCCCATGGGCAGTCCTATATGCGTATACTCTCTTTCTCTCTAATTCTAACATCTTCTCATTGGCATCAAACAGTATTGTATTGCTAGTATTTGCATTATTATTATTATTATCCCCCATGTTGCAATCATTACTTATTCACAGCAATTTTCTGCTTATAGAGTATCTGATAATTGCCCAATAATATATTATATATGATTTGAACTTCACATTCATGTTCAGAATAAGCGTCAATTAACATGATCCCAAAAGAGAACTATTTAGTTTCTTATGACCTGATTCCAGGATTTCCAAGGTTAACTCAAAATATAGAACACTAGTAATTTTTATTAATTATTTCTGTAGAACAATGAATCAAAAACAGCAGTTTTAAATCAGCCACATTTACGTTGTTTTTTTTTTAAAAAATGGCTTCTTGTAGCATTTTAGATTTACTTGACCAGCACTTGAACTCAGGAAGATAAAAGTACAATTTCTTATGGTCTGTTATATCTAGGAGCTATTATCTTCTTTCCTTATCACTAAAAAATTAAACAGTGTTCCAAAATTTTGGTTGAATTATCTTAGGTTGTTGTTAAATTTAACAATTATCTTCAGGTTACTGGAATAACATTCCATTTGTATGGGCAAATGACTACCTCGGTGTATAGCCTTATCTAAAATAATATTTGGTTCTCTCACAGTAGAGTACAAGTGAAGAATAATGATGGCCATAGTTATTTTTACTCATTAAATTTCTGATAGCAGAATTTTTCTTGCTTTTAGCACTCAATTTAGCACTACATATAATAAAAATGTTAGTGTTTTAGATCCAAACCTCAGCGTTGGATCCATAGAACTACAAAGGGCAGAAGAAAAATAGCTACCAGCTGTATTGCACAATTTCTTAAGAAGGTATTAAAGGTATGGAAATTACATCAGAGAATCACCATGTGTTATGTTTGTTTTATAGAGATTCATTTACCAATTGCTACTTTGAGGTCTGGCTATTGTCCCTGCAGTATAAACTATATGAAAAACAATGTAAGATGTTCTTATAAATAAAAGTAAATCTCTGGTCCTGGTGACCAACCCAAATTCAATCCCACATCATTATCCCACGTATATTTGCCTTCATTCATAAGATGTTCTCTCAGGTATTCTTTAATATAAACTGAATGTATGCATTCTTTATGATTGACATGAGTTTTCCTTGTCCATTTAAATATTTAGCCATATTATGTTTATGCCATGTGTATTTATCCCAGTCATTTGATTCCAGAAGCAATTAATGGTTCATTTTTCTTTTGTATCTGATAGCCCAATGGTAGCAGCCAAGGCAAGGTGCACAATCCATTCCTTCCCACACCAATGTTGCCACCACCGCCTCCTCCCCCAATGGCTAGGCCTGTGCCTCTTCCAGTGCCAGACACAAAGCCTCCAACCACATCGACAGAAGGAGGTGCCGCCTCTCCCACATCACCGAGTAAGTAGAGCCAGAAGGAGGAAACAAGAGGCTGACATGGTTTGAAAGAGATTTATGTTTTCATAGTTCCGTAAAATGAAACCTAAATTGAATTAAAACATTCCTCTCAATAAGTACATCAACTAATGATTTAATGAGAAAAAAAAATGACCGTGCAAATAAGCATTGGAAGTTTTCTGCAAAATAGCATATTTTTTGAGGGGAGAAGAGTTGCAAGCAATATGATATATGCAGTATGTCTGATTCTTATTAATATCACATGCCTTCAATTAAAAGCGCATAAGCTTTTTTTCCTTGTCAAAATTTGTCACTGTTTTACAATTTTCAACAATGCAGAAACATCTCATGCCCAATTTTTCTAATATTTTATACTGATCACCAGAATGCATCTCTGGTCTAATGGTCCTGCTGGCCTAATGCTTTACAGCTTCCAAAGGGGAGAGGAAATTTCTTGGTGATTTGTGGTCTTTACTTCAACTCTGAGAGCAGCAATACATGTCATCAGACTAAGAAGAAATGAAATTAGTAATAAGTTATTGCAACAGTATTACCAAAAGAAGGAAAAAATATCGAGAGAAATTGTCATTAATTTAAAACTAGTTTCGAAGCATCTTTAAAAGTACCACCCACAAGCAAAGATCTCTGAGCAAAAAGTCTTAAGATCTCATTTTGGGGCCATCCCGTTTTTCCTTACTATAGAGAAAGAATCTGACAACTCTACAGTCAAGCTGCTATGGTGATTTAGCTGTTGTTTGGGTCTACAGTAATATTCTTTGTTCTAGTTCATTGCAAAGAAGCCATTTTTAGCAGTGTGAAGCCAATAAATGAACAAATGAATGAGCAAAGACATAATCTGCAGTCTTGTCTTTGAAAGCTTAAGACTTTGGCACACCATATCACACTGATGCTCTAATCTGTTTAGATCCATATGTAGGAATAAAAATATTTCACATTTAGACAACCACTTTTTCTTCCTTGAAAGAGGTAAAAACATGCTAATAAAAAGAAGACTTTAAAGAGCACTGATTGAATTAAGTTAAGTACCCATCTTGATAATTAAGAAGGTAACAGTCACTTTATTCAAGGCTATTAATAAAATGATAACTAGATTTAAAGGCCTTTTAGCCTTTACTATCACTACCACTAATGTTGATAGTTTGTAGATTCAGCACATCCACTTTGTCTTACTCACTCATGACAGACTATTTGACTGAAATAAGAAAATGATATAAAATGCTTTGTAAGCTCCAAATGCTGTATTAAAAAAGAATGTTGCTGTTCACTCTGACAAGTGAAAGTAAAGTAAAAGTACTGGTTACAGTATAATGTACTGTACAATGTACAGTGTAAAAGTACATTGCATGAAGAAAACATATATTTTTATGACCTGATTTTTCACACCTTTTATTTCTGCTTCTGGCCTGTAAGACAAAGGGTTGTTGAAACACAATAAATTGCATTCGTAATTGTTCCTTCTTTGATTTTTTTTTTTTTTAAGATTTCATCAAATGCATTTCAAAAGATGGGTCACAGCTGCTGTGTGCCTGAAGCTTTGATTTAAACTAGATTAAATAAAACTGAAATTTCCTGATTGCTGGATTTGTTAATCCTCCCAGGGATTTATAACTTGTATAGCTATGGAATCTGAAACATGACTGTAGGCAGTTTCACAGTTAGCCTCCTGAAAGCTCAGATGGGAACTTCCCACAATCACAAATAGGTGATAAATTATTATTTGGGGGGGAAAATGAATTATATGCCATAGTAGATGAATCTTACATTAAAACAAGGTGAGTAGTTGAACTGGCTGGCTTTGGAGGATTATTTTTCATATTTCTTCTGTCAGGTTCTTGTCCACATCTGTAGTACAGCATCTGTAGAAGATCAAATATTATCACCAATCATATAAGAATAGCAGACCTGCTTGTATCATGCATGCCATCCCCTTTGGAAAGATGAAAATGCATGCTGTGTTAGATTAAAGCTGCCTGGGATTTTGCTTTGTTGACTATATTTCTTTGAAAGTAATAATTATTTCAGAAAAAAAGGAATTTTAAGACTACCCTTTGTGCCACAGGAAATGAAAAACAAGTCACAAGTTCCATGTTTTGGTACATTGAATTAGAACTTCTGGTTCGGTGTTGTTAGCTCTAATGCGTAACATCTCTAAAACATTAATCCTTCCCAGATACATTATCTGGGACCAAGCAACTGGAGATAATGTCTGTTACATTTCAGATATTTGGAAGGGTAAATATGTAAGAATAATAGAAACAAGAACAACTATTATTTCAGATCAGCATTTTTCATTTCTTAAGGGCTTCTCTAAAACAGATTATTTGACGATTGAAATATTTCCTAATGGCAATGATTGTGGCATTCAGGGGATGTTAAGAGAGTGTGAAGTGTCTTACTTATTTTTTGTTATCTGTCTATATTTCTGTCGTTCATTCACTATAAACCCCGTACTCTTCTGCATCGTGACCTCATGCATAGAGAATCTGTGGTTTTGCTCTCTAAATAGAATCAGAAACATAGTAGATAAATAAGAGTACAGAGAAAAAAGTACAGAATAAAAGAGTACAGAGAAGAGCAACAAAGATGATTGGGGGACTGGAGGCTAAAACATATAAAGAATGGTTGCTGGAATTGGGTATGTTTAGTTTAATGAATATAAGGACGAGGAGGGACATGACAGCAGTGTTCCAATATCTCAGGGGTTGCCACAAAGAAGAGGGAGTCAAGCTATTCTCCAAAGTGCCTGAAGGCAGGACAAGAAACAATGGATGGAAATTAATCAAGGAGACAAGCAACCTAGAACTAAGGAGAAATTTGCTGACAGTTAATTTGCTGACAGTTCACAATTAATCAGTGGAACAACCTGCCTCCAGAAGTTGTGAATGCTTCAACATTGGAAGTTTTTAAGAAGAGACTGGACAGCCATTTGTCTGAAATGGTATAGGGTTTCCTGCCTGAGCAGGGGGTTGGACTAGAGGGCCTCCAAGGTCCCTTCCATCATCATCATCATCATCATCACCATCATCATTCATTTAGATCAGTTTTTTACAAACCTGGGCTTCAACATTTAGAATTCCCCAACCAGCATTACCAGAATTCTGTGGTAGAAGTCCGCACAAGTGAAAGTTGCCAACTTTGAAAAACACTGATTTAGAAGTGTCAAAGTTGCTACTAAGTTAATAACTATATTAGAGATATTTTGGAATCATTCAGTCTGCATTTACTTCAAAATGGGACTTACTGCTTGCAGTATTAGGAAAAAGATTTACGAATATGAACTTCAAGATTGACAAACAGTGTATAAAATTGGATTTAAATATTTGGAAACACATATAAAAAGGAATTTGTGTTGATGATGCATAATTAAGAAGTAGCCATTATTATATTACATTATAGCAAAAGGATATTTCAGATTTGATGTGATGAGCTTCAGCTGGCTTGTTTAGTAGCTAATTAGTAAACAGCTAATTTATTAGTACATAAAATTATGTTTCATTTGTATCCTTTCTACGTACAGTAAGTTGCTTTGATAATGTTACAAAGTGCTTTTAACACAAAGATGTAAGAATATGGGTATTATCTGCACAGGTCATATTATTTGTTCATTTAACCAGTATGACTGGTTTTGTGTATCCAAATCTTGAGCAGAAGACTTTTCATAAAATGATATAATATCTAAGAATTTTTACACTATGTATGTATATACGTGGAGGGTGGGTGCATACATTACACAATTAATTCTTATGGTCATGTTTTTTATGATGGTGCTTGCTGAAATATATTTTTTATTTCTGATTATTTTTTTCCAATGAGAAGCTCACTTAAATTCCTGACTGTTCCCTACCTATATATTCTATTTCTTTGAGTTACATAGTATTTTATGAGAGATCATTACTTTGAATATCTAATTAATGCCATTAACTTCATTTTTAGGACACTGGAATAATGCACAAAGCCCCAGTCTTCACACAGTAGATAGTTTTTACTTTTTTAAACAAGAATTTATATACTTACTTGAGAGAACAGGTTTTATTCTATATTAATCACAAATTATTATTCTAAAATCTGCAACATTACTTGTAATAATATGTAACAGTATCATATACAGGGCTTTTTATATGTGATCTATTTAGTTGATAGATTAGTGTGAAAATGTCCAATATAGTTCAATGTAAAAATGTTCCATACATTTGTATTTGAATAGTATGAAGAGTTGAAAAACAGCAGTAAATAAATCAATTAGTGACTCTAATTCCTAAATCTGCTAAAGACTTATTACAATGGTACATTAAAAAATCCCTCTAAAAGTAAAGAGGATGCTCATGTATTAAAATTAAATGTGCATATATCAGGGAAAGCTATACATGTGCATTAGTGCAGTTGATTGGAGTTTTGGCATTTTAGAATCTGTGTTAATTTGCTGTCCAATCTGATATGTTAGAAGGGAAGGGAGGGGAAGAAGGAAGGAAGGAAGGAAGGAAGGAAGGAAGGAAGGAATTGCAAGTATGATTTTTATTTTTATTAATGCTTTGGGTTCCAAAACTTTGTTTTTTTCCCCATTTATAAATGGCCATGACCATTATAGCACCAATTTTATGAATTTGCAAGTCTCTTATGGCAGCTGCTTTCTGATTGTAACCACAGTGTGTTTCCAAAACTATATATATAAGAACCCTAACTCATCAACAAAAATAAATTCCTTTGCCTTGTCTATCAAAATACGTGTTTCTACCAGAGTTGGTACCAAAATAGGACACCCTGGGAAGGCAGCAAAGGCACATGAAATGAATCCTTTGATCTGCTGAATTCAAGTCATCTTTGTAGTCAAGAAGCCCTCACTATCAAGTTCCTCAACTACTTTCTCTCAGATAAATCAGTGGAAAAGGAGAGGGAAAAAAACTCCCAAATTGACAATCAGGAAGAAGGTCTCTCTATTCTCATTTTGTCATGCCCAACCCCTTAGCAGAACAACAGTCTGTGGAAGAGCAGGCTGCTTAGAAAAACTGGGCTGCCTTCTTCCCCTCCTATTTATTTCTTTTCCCCAGCGTCAACACAACAGAGTTGACAATAAAGCTACAACCTTGAAAAAGGTACAGGAGGGAGAACAGAGGAGATGTGTGCTTTAGAAGCTCTGCAGCCATCAGGAAACAGAAAAGCAGCTGAATAAAAGGGAGTGGATCGTGGAGAGGAAAAAGAATTGTAGAGCCACAGCAAAGCAAAGCGGGACATAGAAAGGTGCAAGTACAGGTAGTTCTCGACTTACAACGACAATTGAGCCCAAAATTTCTGCTGCTAAGTGACACAGTCGTTAAGTGAATTCTTACCCATTTTACGACTTTTCTCACCAAAGTTGTTAAGTGGTTAACTTAGTAACATGATCGTTAAGTGAATCTGACTTCCCCATTGACTTTGTCAGAAAGTCGCCAAAGGGGATCACATGACTCCGGGACACTGTGCAACTGTCATAAATATGAGTCAGTTGCCAGGTGCCTGAATTTTGATCACAGGACCATGGGGATGCGGCAAAGGTTGTAAGTGTGAAGTCACTTTTCAGTGCCACTTTGAGCGGTCACTAAATGAACTGTTGTAAGTCAAAGACTGCCTGTACTCTATACTGGCCAATAATAGAGAAGGAAAAACAACATTAGAAATCTCAGAGAGAAGTATTAAGGCAGAAGGTGGAAGAGCATAGTAATAGTAAAGAGGCAATGTTGTAATAGAATAGTCATTGAATTAAATAAATAAAGTATATTAAATAAAGTATAGAGGGAATATTTAATATAAATTGAATAATAGTATAGTAAATGTTTATAACAGTAATTAGCATAATAATATAGAAATAATAGAAATACTTTTTTTTCAAAGTAAGATATCTCACCAAAACGTATGGGGATATATAAAAAGCAACAACCTATGCAGGATCCAGTGCTTTTTGTGCTTCTTCTGAATCTGGAGCAGTCTATGTAGGTATAGTTTAAAAAAGAATCCTTGATTCTTTATAAATCAGAAACAATCTTCTTCCGTTCTACCATATTTAGAATTGCTGTGCCCGCTGCACAAAATCTGATTCTGAATCAGATTTTGATCGTAAACTAGTTGATAATAGAGGTGGTATAGTCATAGCCCCAAATCATGTGCTATAACAGCTAGAGAGCCAGGAATATTTGTAATTTTTAAAATTTTAAAAATTGCCAGTAATGGAGCCAAAATTCACTATTAAGGATAATAGCTTTACATAAATGCCATTTTCTATACATGCCTATTTAAAAAATACACTTGCAGTTTATTATATTATGCTTATGAGCCATTCATCTTATCACTTTTGAATAGAAGCAATTCACAATTTGTTTTGAACTTAGACCAGTTTAAAGCACTGGTCACTCAAACATATTATTGCAGTCCCCAAGACTTCTTGCCTATGGATCTTTGTACAACAAAAGCAATTTGAATTAACTTTCCATGCTTAACTCCAAATACGTAGCTTTAGTTGACATTAAAATGCAAGATACTCTTCTGTTGCCCACTGATGTCCATATTTATTTCTCCATCTTTTGAAGTCCAGTTGTCCTAAGTCAAGATTCTTGATCCTTATAACGTGACTCCATTTTCATGTTCAACATTTGTTTGGGTGGCTCTGAGATCAGTGTTGTTGTTGTTGTTTGTTTGTGATATAGTGCTGCTTCCTGAACGCATGTGTCCCTTCCCTTCACAGCCTATTCAACACCCAGCACCTCCCCTGCAAATCGATTCGTCAGTGTTGGACCACGGGATCCAAGCTTTGTAAATATCCCTCAACAGACACAGGTGGGACGCTTTCAACTTCTGTTCTGTTTGCCATGCTGTTTGTTAACAACTTTGTTGTTCTTTAGTGTTGCTTTGGCAAGTGATTTGTGTCTCTCCATCAGTCAGTTCATCTTCACAGTCTGAATATTAGTGAAATGTCACTTCTGGTAATTGTTTGTTTTTGTTTTGAGAAATTCTCACAGCAATAGTGTTTCCCCCCCCCCAGATAGTTATTTCCTCTTTCTTTTCTGACAATCTTCTGCTATAAAGATAGTCAAATGACTACAGGTAGTCCTCGACTTACAACAGTTCTTTTAAGTGACCGTTCAAAGTTACAACGGCACTGAAAAAAGTGACTTATGGCCATTTTTCACACTTATGAATGTTGCAGCTTTCCTTTGGTCACGTGATCAAAATTCATATGCTTGGCAACTGACTCATAGTTATGACGGTTGCAGTGTCCCGGGCTCATGTGATTCCCCTTTTGCGAACTGACAAGCCAAATCAATGGGAAAGCCAGATTCACTTAACAATTGTGTTACTAACTTAACAACTGAAATGATTCATTTAAGAACGGTGGCAAGAAACATCATAAAATGGGGCAAAACTCACTTAACAAATATTTCGCCTAGCAACATAAATTTGGGGCTCAATTGTGGTCGTAAGTCGAGGACTACCTGTACTTTCAGTTTGGAATAGTTTTAATGTTTCATTCTGTGCACTGACATCACATGACAAACATTATAAGAAATGCTGTGCCGTATATGCATTTCATGTAGAAAATCTAGTCCTATTTTGGCAATTAGCAACTATATTTACCAATTCATTCTAATTTAAAACTAATTTTCCATATGGTAAGTTGAAAAGAAAAAAGGAAAGTCTCCTTTGAATCAGCTTTGACACCTGCTAAAAGGCAACAGCCCTTGGATTTTCTGCTGGTCTTCCAAATATTAACAAGATCTGATCCTGCTTTATTTGCTTTGAATTTAGCCAAAGTCAGACATAGTTACTCTGGAAATAGTCCAAATAAGTGGAACATACTTTTTGTTCATATATTTAATATTAGAGTGTAAGTTTGTCAATTCAGTTAATCTCCAATCACGATAGATAATAGTCAAGGCAGTTGCTAAACCATCCACCTTGGTATGCTTGTTCAATGGTTTTTTTAAAAAAACCAGGCAAACCACAAACAGCTCTTCTAAATGCATCCATCCTGAAGAGTGGCATCTGATATTTTCTAATATATCTGTAACCTGTAAGAATTTGACCATTCTATGGAATTGTAAAAGCTGCAGTATGTTATGAATTGCCTATGCTTAAATGAGATTAATATCTTCAATAAGAATGGCACCTAATTAAATGTGGAATGCTGCTAGTGTACTATGTAGGTTGCCATGATATTTAGCCCATGAGGGGAGTAAAAAGTCCCATAGAAAGCAAATACTTCTGACCTGACTGAAACAATCCTTTTTTGGTTCATGCAGCCGATGCAGAGAATGTATTGATTATGCTGATTCCATTAACCCTTTATTTTGTGAGTTCATAATGAATGATAAAGTAGTTCTCGTTGAAGCTATTTTTGAGCAGACACCTTTAGCCTTGCACCATTAGTCTAGTTAAGAAACGGATAACTGAAAGTGGGCATGTCTATCCAATACATAAGCACATTTGTTAATTAAACATGTACTGTCCTGATCCTGCCAAATTCTTTGCTCACATATTTTGCAGTGCATAGCCTTTGGTGCACCACTCAAATGCTAAGTGCAGCTTCCAGCTGTAAAAAGGTCGTATGTCCTTGGCTGGAGTAATTTTGTTCTAGATTAGCCACAACCCTTGACCTGCTTTATCACGAAAAAAAAAGCACCAACTGGAACTAAAAGACGCTTATACCTATATGTATATGAGAAAGGCTGAATGGATACTATTAAATTCAATCAAAGCAAGGGGCAAAGTTAAAACTTTTCTAAATGACCTCACATACTAAGGTCTTCTTTTTAAAAAATAAAATAAAAAATACTGTATCTAAGCAATAACTCACTTTTATTTAGAACCTAATAATATGGAACCAAAGTTAAACTTACTTTTTTGCCATCTCTCAAGAGGTGTTCAGTTATATTACTTAATAATATTCAGCATACTATTGAAAACAAATAACAGAGATTATTGGGATAGGCACTAAATTCTACAAATGGAGAAAAGAAGAAATCCCTAAAATATGAATAATATCCTTTGTAGCTTACAGAACACAGTTCCTTCAGAAAAGATAAGATTAAAAATTGCTTTCAAAGACTTGTTTCTTAGCATCAAATAGAACATATTTCTTTTGAAAAAAAAATCCCTGGACCATCATCCTGAGTTCAACCAATATTAATTTAACCTCAGTGATGTTTAACTCATTTGACTTTTATTGTACAAATGATACCACTTAATGGACAATCTTTTGCATTCCTATGAAAAATACAGAAGTTGAAATTAACTTTTTAAAACAAATTTATGTATATTGTATAATTTTATATGTTTTTATTAAAATGCACATTTTGTTAGTCTTTCCTGGTTTTGCTCTTGAATTTTCCTTTGTAAAGCAAAGTTGTAAACGATTAAATTTGTTTATCCGTATGACTTTCTTTCAGACGGTCCCTTTTCAGGTTTGTCCTTATGGTTACCATATCGATAATTTATCATGCCATAATTGTGAAGAAAGAAAAGAATCAGTTGCATTATTTATAAAAAATTTCCTGTGCAGTGTTTTAAAAGTCAAGAACAAGATAGTGCTGGTTTTATTTTGGCAATTATAATTTTTAAATAATAATTAAGCATTGGGACATGCTCAGTCCAGTGTGGAGAGCTGCTTGTGTATAACAGCTCATAACTAAGTTGTGGACCTTATCATCAATTATTGGATAACATACTGAACAATCTCTCTCCTAGTTTAGGGAACATCGCCAGATCTCAAATAGAGATTGCCTCACATGAACCAAGTACAACAAAATTCAACACTTTGCAATCATACGCCATGCAGCTAATTGCCACAGTTTGCATCTGAAAACTGGGCTTGTGTATCTTTCAGTGTGATCCACAAAACAATCAATGTGTCCTCTGAACCTGTTATAGGTACAGCATATTTTTACAAAGATACCGCTAGTCACCTTTTGTAGATGAACTTTTTTTTTATTAGCTTGTGGCGATTGGACACAATAAACAAGAATAGTCAATTTAAGCAATGAGGCAATCAATAGTCACCCAACAGCAGCAATTAGCTAGAATATAGAAAAAGGCAATATCGTATCATATTCACAAATCCTGTGAGCTGCCCTCAGTGATGAAGTCAATACTTTTCACAACTCAGAATGAGAGCACTGTTGGCTTTTGAAGTGATTTCTCCATTTGCAGTCTTCAGTAAGGGCTCTCCTTTATAGCTGCATAGATGGAAGTGGTTAAATTGTGTTGGATTTCAAGCCTCTGCACCGAACAAGGTCACAGAAAGTACATCAGCTATTCAGGGAAATATTTTAACTCTTTGGGGCCTATTTCCATTGGTTAAGTAGCAGAAAAGCAGCCTACATTTCTGTACTTCTATAGCACCAGCTCCCTTGAAGCACCTCTAATTCAAAGGCTGTAACAAGAACAGAATTCACTTACTTTTACATTGAAACCATTTCTTTTTTAGTCTAAGGAATTCTATTAATATTGGGAGGAATTTTAAAGCGAGTTGTTTAAAGCTACAGTTCTGAAGCCAGTTATACAATAGTTTATAAACCCTATGCAAATTTATTTAAAAGTGCATCTCATTGAACTCAGTTCTGCTTCTGGACAAGAATATCTTGTTAATAATTCCATGGTGTTAATTCCCACAACAGGGTTTCAAGTGTTTTATTTTATTTTATTTTATTCTTTGAGTAGCTATCAAAATTACATTTTTGTATCATGAAAATAAGCATGATTGGATAGAGTACAATCATTCTAAAATGAATGTCTTTGGACTAACTTATTTAAACTTATTTTAAAAAGTCCTAGAACTTAAAGACAAAAATAATAGCTGCCATTTATGTTCAGGTTTAGTATTCTCGAGAACAAAATTATTTATTTATAAATTATTAAAACAATTGAAAATGATATTTTGTTACTATCTTAAAATCTGGACATTTGAACTTTATTTTCCTTCTTACCCTATACTTTATGCAATAAATGATTACGATGATCTTCCCCAATCTTGCCCCTTTACAGATATGTTTATCTACAACTTCTCTGATTCTCTGCCTATAAAGCCAATGTTGTTGGCTGATGGGAGTGGTAGCCCAATACAGCTGCTGGATCCTTTTGGGAAGATTTACACTGTAGCCTTCCTATGTAGGGAAAGCTACAATGTAAATGTGTTATTTGACAGGATGAATTAAAATGTTTAATATGTAATTGAACTTTTTTGCTTTCCTTCAAGATAATAGTCCTTTTTTAAATAAAAGGTTTGTACATTTGTAAAGATGTACAAATGCCACCCTATTTGTAACCTGTGGCGGCAGACATCTGCTGAAAATAATCAGTTCTCTTTCTTTGGTATCTAATATTAGGGACTCAAGTGATATTAGATATGCTGTGATTTCTTTATGGCAACTCTAGCTCTCAGATTATGAGCTAGGAACTGCTAATCCATGCCACTCTGTAAAGCGAAAGCTATAATAATAATAATAATAATAACAACAACAACAACAATAACAACAATAATAACAATAATAATAGTAAAGTTGGAAGGGACCTTGGAGGTCATCTAGTCCAACCCCCTGCTCAGGCAGGAAACCCTATACCATTTTGGTATACTTGCTTCCCTTGCCAGCTTTCATTTGGAGTAGTGATTCTTATAGGTGGGACAGCATAGATGCTTTGCTTGCTATCATACTAGTGTGCTTAAGGACCCCATGGGGAAAGCATATGATCTTATTGCTATTTCCTGCTATTTTTAAGATCTAAAATGAAAATAAGCAAGAGTTATAAGCAAGTCCTTCGAACTGTGGGTGTTCCTTTCCCTT